GTAGCAGGGCTATCCCATAGGCAGGGTGCCCAGAGCAAATTTAATTTTCAAAAGGTTTTTAATGCCAGAATCAGACTATGAATTCACTCAGTAGATATTACATGCCACTGGCATAGGACCTTTTAATAGACATTTTATTGACCTAGAAATGGTAAGGTATGAGACTTGAGTGGTTCCACTTCTAACAGCAAAAAGAAACTACTGCTGGCTATAATAAAATATAGCAGTCTTAAAATTTAAATAGTTGTTTATACTTACTCAGGGAACTGGAGGGTTATATAGGATATTTCAATAAATTGCAGATCAGTTGGTCATGAAAACTGCTCATTATAATGCTTTAAACAAATTAAATTTCATTTAAAAGTTTCAGGCCTCCTGAATGCCAGAGAAAGGTGAAAATACAGTCATGGGATGTAGAGACTAGCACCAGGAAAAACAGCCAGAAATTCTGAACTTGGATCTCTTCACATGTCCTTGTGCTCTTAACAGATTACTTAAGAGATGACCTAGATAACATTTAAAAAATTTGAGTGCAAAGTGCAATGTGTTGCCTTTGTGTGGATTAGAGCACATGATAACTCTTGAGCCAGATTATAAGAATCCCTATCATAAGATTGTGAGAAATGAGAGCAAAGAATCAGAATTGAGAGCCTGACCCACAGATGACTCCGTTGTCAAAAAAATGCTTGGTCTTGCTTTCAGCACATGGCTTCCTGAAAAATATCTTTACTATAGTAAGTAACTGTTTAAAACTTTACTTATTAATTTCAATTAGCTTGAGTCCTTAGGGAACCCTGCGAGGGTTTAGTTGTCTTGATTACAAAGGCCCACATCCCTCACAAAGTGCCCCCATGTTGGCATCTAGACAACAACCTTGAAGATTGTCATTGTGGAATCATGGTAAAATCCAATTTTTTATCTCACCATTATGAGTTGAGTGGTGGTCCCCAAAAACACATGTCCTTATCCTATTTTCTGGAACCTGTGAATGTTCCCTTCTTTGGAAAAGAGATACTTAAAGATGTTATTAAGGTACGGATTTTGCAATGAGGAGATTATCTTGGGTCTTCCATGTGAGCCCTAAATCCAATGATGCGTGTATTAATCTGTTCTTATACTACTAACAAAGACATACCAGAGACTGGGTAATTTATAAGAAAAAGAGGTTTAATGGACTTATAGTTCCACATGGCTGGGGAGGCCTCGCAATCACGGCGAAAGGCAAAGGAGGAACATACGCATGTCTTATATGGCGACAGGAAAAAGAGGATGTGCAGGGGAACTGTCCTTTATAAAACCATCAGATCTCATGAGACTTGTTCACAGCATGGGTAAAACCCATCCCCCATGATTCAATTACCTCCCACTGGGTCTCTCCCATTACACATGGCGATTATGGGAGCCACAGTTCAAGATGAGATTTGGATGGAGACACATCCAAACCATATCAGTGTATGTCCTTAGAAGAGTGAAGTGGGGAGGGATTTCACACAGAAAGAAAAGGAGGAGGAGGCAATGTGTCCACAGAGGAAGGGATTGGAATGGTGCAGGCTCGGGTCAGTGAATGGTGACAGCTACTAGAAAGTGGAAGAAGCAAGGAACTGATTCTCCCAAAGGAATGTGGCCCTGCTGACATGTTGATGTCAGACTCATGGCCTCCAGAACTGTGAAAGAATATACTTCTATTGTTTTAAACCACTCAATTTTTGGTAAGTCAGTATAGCAGCCATACAAAACTAATACGCTAACAATGAATTCTGTTTCCTCCATTTATTGGTACTTTCCTTAATGTCTGCTTTTCCCAGGTGAGGTATCTGAAAAGTCTTTTTCCCTTCCATGGTCTTGCACATCCTTCTGGAATATTCTCTGTGGCAGTTATGCAGACCATTACAACCACATTTCTTGTGAGTTGTGTGTGAAATCTGCAAAGCTCAGAAAAAAAGTATCAGAACAAAATTTCTTTCAAGTTTATTCATTCAACAAATATTTATTGAGTATATACTATGTGCCAGGCATTGTTCTTCATGCTGGAGAAGTCTGGGGAAGTGAGGGGAAAGATAAACAAAAATCCCTACTCCCATTAAGTTTTCATAGGCAAGCAATACATAAAATAAAGAGGTAAAGTTATAGCATGTTGGATGGTAGTAAAAACTACAGAGAATTAAGAAAGAAAGAGGGATGGGAATAGTTTTCTGTTTTAATAGGATTGTTATGGAAGACTTTACTGAGAAGGTGACCTCCAGAAAGGAGATATATTAGTCAGAGTTCCCCTGAGAAATCGAGCCAATAGGAGATATTCATGCATGCATATGTATGTGAATGAGGTATATTGCAAGGGAATTTGTTCATGTGATTACGGAGGCTGGGAAGTCCAAAATCTGCAGAGCAAATCTGCAGAGCAGATGTCCCAGTCTGAGTCCAAAAGCCACAGGCTTCTGGTCACCACAGTAGCTCATGCCTATAATCCCAGCACTTTGGGAAGCCAAGGCTGGCAGATCACTTGAAGTCAGGAGTTCAAGACCAGCCTGGCCAGCATGGTGAAACCCTGTCTCTACTAAAAATACAAAAATTAGCTGGGCGTGGTGGTGCATACCTGTCATCCCAGCTACTTGGGAGGCTGAAACAGGAGAATTGCTTGAACCTGGGAGGCAGAGGTTGCAGTGGACCAAGACCGAACCACTGCACTCCAACCTGGGTGATAGACTGTCTCAAA